AGGATAAATTTTGGAAAGGAAATCACGAAATAGGCCGTGGCAACTTGCTTGCGCATCCCCCGCATAACCTGACATGGCACCCGCTCCCTAGTAAGGGATCCATAGATTCGCAGAGCCAGAGTCGATTTCTGAGGGGGTCCCGTTTGTCGGGGGATGATGGACATGCCGTTCTTCAGTCCTCAAATCAAACGGGGCTTCAGTGACCACTGCGGCTTCCGTCAGTGCGAGGCCCGGCCCTTGCCTATCGCATCTGCCTCCCGCAATCTGAGCCTTGGAACGGCTTGCATGCTATGAAGGGAATCTGTTGTAAAAAGGTTGAGCACCTGCAGTGGACCCGCAGTGGATCCGCCGTTAGGGCGGCAAGATTTGCAAGCAACCACGATTTGAGCCATCTGCATCCATCACGGGAATGCTGTGGCAATCATTGCCCCATGTTTGAAGCAAACTCGACTGAAAGCAACAACTCAACCCAACCCGACCCAACCCAACCCCAGCCCAGCCCAACCCCAACCCAACCCAACAACAAACAAGCAAGCAAACAAAACAAACACAAACAAAACCAACAGAACCAATCAACCAATAAGGAAAGCAAAACACAACAAACCAACAAATAAAACAAACAAACAAACAAACAAACAAACAAACAAACAACCAACCAACCAACCAAACAAACAAACAAACAAACAAACAAACAAACACAGAGACACAGAGAAACACAGAAACACAGAAACACAGAAACACACAGAAACACAGAAACACAGAAACACACAAACACACACACGCACACACAGAGAGAGAGAGAGAGAGACCTTTGGCGGCCAGTAGGCAAATTGAATGTCTGTCTAGACACAATACTTCAAAAATGCACGGTTCAACGAGCTTGTGTCTGGGAAGCGCTATAAAACTGCTTCCGACTACAAGGAGCAGACGAAATTCAAGGAGATCCTGCCCATTCAAACTCCAAGCAACACCCAAGCAACGAGGCTCCTCTTTCACCCCTGGAGCCACATCCCAAACCTTCCAACCCAGCTCCCCCCCCCACCCCCCCGCCCGCGCCATCCACGCCAGGGTGCAGAGACCGCTGGGCCCAGCTTTGTAGCCGCACGCCTGCGCAAGATCCTGGGGGCCGGAAGTCTTGAGCAGCAACTCATCCACTTGAAGCCACGAGCAAATTGGTGGATGCTCAGCTTGCAATTTGGTATCTCTGGAAAGTCATCCCCCTTGAAAACATCACTGGAGAAGCCTTTTCACGGGATATGCCCGCCATCTCTATATCTAGATGTACAAGCCTGAACTGAGTCGCACTTCTTTGATGCAAATGCTCCTCGCGCGTGCGCTCCCATCAACCGAAAGGGCCCCACACGGCTCCTGCTGTGTGCAGCCATGATGCCAGGCCAGCCTGGCCCGCAGCTATCACAAAGCGGCCGACTTCACCCGACGCTTACCCTCAAATTGGGTCCCAGGCCAACGGGCCCCGAAATCGCAACTGGAATTTCGGATGGGGCGTTTCTGAGACCAAACGGAAGCTTCCATCTATTTTTTCGGGGGGTTCCCTCCCATTGTTGAGAAACCTGCGAAGCCAACAATCTTTCGACGATCTGCGAAGGCCTCGCCCTCCAAATGGCCCACCACAGAGTGCCGCACCTGGCGCAGTGCGAGGCGGAAGCCGGGGGTTGTAATGGATGGTGACGAAGCTTCTGGGGAAAAAAACGAAGACTTTCGCCATCCAGGGCTGAACCATAGAGCTGACTCCAGTTGATTCCAGGCGGCACAGCTCATTCCCTTCCCATCATTATGCTTTTGGAAACCACACATGTCCCTTGTGTTTCAGGTCCTTTTGGCTGGAACCAACCACAAACTAGGCTGAATCACAGGGGTGTGTGCCTGTTCCCTACTTGACTATGAACGTTTGGGCTGGGCAGCAAGCGGCGGAAGGGGCACGAGAGGCGGAACACAAGGGCGAGGCCTGCAAGCAAGCCAGAGCCCCGGCCTGTGCAGCCCGGAACCCCGGCGCCGAAGCCGTAGATTCGATTGGCGCCGGCGAAAAGACCTGAGCCGAGCACTTGGTTTCGTGTTCGTCTGTTTTGCAGGTACCTTTGTTGAGGCTACCCTTTTTGGGGGTTACTTTTAGGGAGGGAAGCGACCGTTTTGGTAGTTCCCCAAAAAGGCAAACAAACCCAAGTAAGAATCCCTAAGATGGTTGGCTGCCTTTTGGTTTCCAGCTGGAACCCTGGGCATCTCTTGAATTCTGATAATTCGACCGGGAGTAATGCCCACTTTTGTCCACGCAAACTCCGCATCACTCCGAGATGGTTCCACATTCCAGGAGATTGATGGATTTGTTCGGATTAGTAAGATCGTCCGGATTGATCGATTTAATCCCAAGCTGACATTGTTGCCGCCATGAAACATAGTTGGACCGGTTGATGTTCGAGTACCAAGAGGAGAACAGGACAACACTGCTCGTAGATCTCTTGCCAAAGGTTGATTCTTAGTGGCATATGTCCTGAATCCCTCTAAGCCTAAAATCTAAAAGTATGAGGTTGTGTATGGCCGGGAACCAGCAAGTGCTTTGACCCTTGCTGGAAGCTTGGTCTGTTGCTCCTTTGGGTATTCGGTATGCGGAACCAACAAGGGATCGACGGCTTCACTCTTCCCCAGCAAAATCGTAGCCCATGGGGTCCAAGTTGTTCTGGGACATAGCGACAAAGGCAATCTTCAAAACATGTCGTGGAGTCGACTGGCAATGTGGTAGACCAAGCTTGGCGCATCATGCTGGGCTCCTTCCACCGTCAATAATCAAATCATGAAAGAAACCAAACAAGCAACAACGCCCAATAGAACTAATAAAAAAAAAAAAAACAGATGGACAACTTTAACATGATAAACAAGGGTATGGTCGCATTAGCGACGCAGCGTAAGCACAAAGACAAGAAAGAAATAAGCAAGGCCTGCGAAACATAAAGTTACTAGGATGATACAACAAGATGTATTGTTTGAGAAAAAAGGTCCGATCCCTTTTACATATCAAGGTTGCGTCTGGATCACTGTCATTGAACCAAAACGATTTGTCTGCCACTTTGCAGCGTGGGAAGACCATTTGGTGCGTGTCTTCTATTTAGGTTTCCCTTTCGGGGCTGGGTTCAAAGGACGTTCAAAGAGAACCCATCATCTTTTGGGTTCCCTATTTTGAGACACACATCAGTGCCTTTTGGGGATCCTCCTGAAACACATCCATATGGCCATGGTCGGATCCTCCATCCGACACCCGCGCCGGGGTCCCCACATAGCACCGCCGCGTGGCGGAGGCCTGAGAGCGGAGGCGACCGAGCTGAGCGGCCCATGTGTTGAGTTGCCTTCACAAAATAGGGATCGGTCCATTTCCAAAAAAAGAAGGCAGCATCAGGTGTTCATGTGCCTCAGGGCTGTCTATCAAGATACCGGTCCATTTCTCAAAATGGCAAGGGTGTCCTCTTGGCCTGCTCTAATAACTCAAATACCAACTGTGATCCGCGGTTGTTATTCCTCAACAGCTGACGGCTTGGCGGCTGCGCGCAGTAACCGTAGCCAAAGAATAAAAGCATTGATCAACCTGTTGAATGATTTGGAGGATGTTGCTGCAAGCTTTGGGGTCTCTGCCCAGAGCTTTGGATTGGTTCGGAGCCGCTCCGGGCTAAATGAAACATAGACCACCAGCTCAAGTCGCGAACCCTTTGCCCGTTTGCAAACCTGGTAAAAGGTCCAACCACAGATGTGTACTTGACTTGTCTTTGCCACGTCCCCCCAATAACCCCAGTCAGAGGGCCGCCATTCCAAGGGAAGCTCACACCGCCGCATTGCCTTTATGAGCCCTTCCGTATCTGATTGCATCTGGTGAGGAAGCGTCACCTTTTCGTGTCGTGTAAACCAAGTTCCCAGCGGATAGTTTGAAAATCAGAAATTGACCCCACCGAATCGTGGTTTGCATTCTTCACCTGAAAAGCCATCCGAGCAAAGGGGAACGTTTCATTGTGATGGGCTGGGCCCAGTTCCAGGTGTCAAAGGGGCAATTCCCAACCTGGGGCTCCTTTTGCTTTGATGCAAAAGCTGCCCGACGCCAAATTTGAGGGAAGCGTCCAGCGCGCCACAGAACATCACCTCCCGCCACCCGGTTTTTTTCCTAACAAAATATCGGCCTCGGGAGCTGCGTCTGCCACCTTCAAGCCAATCGGCTAGGTGCACCAGTCTCCAGCACCCGTGGACATGCTCCAGCCCTGTGGAGACTTGCCCTTGCCACTTACCTGGTCAAAACTCGATGGGCTGCTTACTGGAAGCACGTCGCACACAGCTGCGTCTATGTCCGCAAATTGGCCAACCTCGAATTGGCATTAGCCCAAACTCGACCTGCTCAGCTAAATTGTTCGCACAGGTCTACACGCGCCTCCTCCCGGCAAAAAAATAGGATCCTGCCGTGTGCCGACCTGAAGCCAGATGTGTTCCCTTCCGATCCATGTGGGGAGGAGGCCCGTGCCTCGCCAAAAGCCACACTCAGGTTGTGCCAGACCTGAGCTGCACTGCAAGGTGTGGAGGGCCGCATCCTCTTCCGCTCTTTCCAACAATCCTGGAAGTTGACATCCCCAAACAAATAAGAAGTTTTGCACACCTTTCTATTCGCTTCCATGATGGTTGGAGAGAAGGTTCCCAACGATTTCGGCTGAAGCTCATCCAGAGCCAAGAGTACGCCCCTATCTTCCTGGTAGACCCAAAACAAGTCTGAGGCTCTACTACAATCTTCCCAAACATATCATGTTCACCCCTGAATCACCAACCCGCAAGTTCAAAAGTGGTGCAATCCTTTGCTTGGAAGGGACGTCCCGTCCGTGCTTCTTTCTGCTCGCAGCCGAGTGGCTGCGAGTGGCCGCGAGTGGCCACCCGTTTCACTTGTCCTCCGCAAGAGTGCGGAAGGCCGCCAGCACCTCCTCGTGCAGAGCCACGAAGACTTTCTTGTAGTGCTCCTGATCAAAGCTCCACACGAGCTGAGCTTCCCTCTTGGTTTGGATTGGTTGGAGGCATGCCTTCCCATTCAGTTTCCACAAGACGGGCTCAAATCCGCACACCGATCCAAACCACCAGGCAACCCAACTTAAGACTTGGTGCCGCGTACCCTTTTTGGAATACACGAGCCATCCCCGGCGTATCGAGTGATTTTGGGGAACCCCTGAGTGACAGCCAGTAAACCACTCATCTTGAACAGGCCATGAGCGAGCTCATGGCCGGCTCAAGGGGATAGGGAAAACGTGGCCCATGCACGGACAGCCATCAAGGACTGGGCCCCGAGCTGGTTCTTAGTTCTTAATATGTCTGTTGCTCGGTCGCTCCCATGCCGAGTCCCTGGGCTTTGCTCCTGCAAGCCGGCTCTTTGGACCACGGCATATTTGTGGTATTTCTCTTGCGTTGCCTTGTGCCCCTCCATCCCTCCCTGCCTCCGACTGGCGCGGCATCTCAAACTTCATGTCTGTGATCTTCTTGATCATGTCCTGATGGAAGTCAAGTAACCCTTCCGGCGATGCCTGGGCATGTCTTTTTTTTGGGGGGGGATTACCCTTTTCTTGGGTTGCGAGGAACACCGCCCAATTGAAAGTCGCCCTGCGTGGAGGCAAGCCCACCTAGGTGAGCCGCCCGGACGACTCCTTTGGCCCTTTCAAGCGGTTCTCCTCGGTATCACGATAAACAAAATGTCATTTCCACAGGCTCTGTTCATCCCCTGATCATAACGCGGTCCAAAGGGTTTTTTTCACTTGAGGTTGGCGCAGGCAAGTTCAAAAGCCGTCTATGAGGGAATGCGGTCTCTGGGTAATGATTGGGGTTTATGAGGCAAGCAAACCAGAGACCAGGTCTGTAACTTACTTGAACCAGTCTCCATGCTTCTGTAAGGCGACTAGTCGAGTCTCACTCTTTGGGGTTGAGACCGGCAGCCACCATCTGGAGCCAGAGAGCATGTCCCTACGTTTCGCGGCGGAGAAGGCAGGTCGAGACTTGAAACACCGCAATGGTAGGCATTGGGGCCAGTGGGAGCGAGATTTCTGGGACAAAGACACAAAACCATGCAGCCTTATTTAATGGGTTCCCTAGTTTTGACACAGTGGAACGACCCTCGTGTCCTTCATTGCCGCGTTGATGGTGTTCCAGCCCACCTTGTGCTCGCCTGAGTACTCTGCCATCATCTTCTGAGCGGCTTCATGGAAGCCAACCTGAGTGTTGAGTTGACGGGTGCATGCGTTGAAACTTCTTGCGTTTGAGCTTGAAAAGCTATCAAAGCACCCCCAACATGGGCACCCCAATCTCAGGAGCACCTAAGAGGGCCCCAGCATGTTGCCCAGTCAACGTGGCAAAAACAAAGGTGTCCTTGCCGAAAAGTAAAACCCAAATGAGTCCAATAGACCCCCTCAACCCCGTTCTTGCCTCATGTCGTGTGGACCCCTCACAACCAAACAAGTTCACAGTTCACCTTGGTCAGTGCGGCAAAAACATCTTTGCTTCTGTCTGTGGCAAAGAAATCACCTTCAACCCAGCTGAGTTTCCTTTGGGACTGTGCTGAAAGTGGGAAAGGCTACCTCTGGATACCTCTGGTTGGTGATTGAAGCAAATCACCATGTAATCATTTGAATGGTTTGTTTTCTGTTGGGTTCATGCGGGAATGATCGTTTGTTCGAGTGAGGGTGGTCAAAGGGAAACCGAAGCAAGTCTTGCGGTAACGGTTGACCTCATTTGGAGACACACCAATATCCACCTGTGAACTGAAAGTTTGTCTCTAAATCCGAAATGGGTTTGACACAAATTGGGCTTTGGCTTTCTGTCCCCAAAAGGCGCACTCCCACATTTCAACTACTGTTCCTATTTGAGCACCAACTCAGTTGGATTATTCTTGAGGGGTCCAGGGCAGCCTGTTCAAACAAACATTGCAATCGACAGCATCCAACAAAGGCGGCCTCCGTGAAAAGCCGTGAAAACCTGATGCCGAGCGGCGATGACCTTCATCATGCCGATGGTCTTGGCCAGTGGGCACATGAAGTCATAGTCCGTGAAGCCATTCTGCTGCAGGAAATCCTGGACAAATGCGGGGAATTCGCATTTTCCCAGAACCCACGGATTCCCATCATGGACGAAATGGATTTCAGACTTCAGTTGCCAAGCATCACTTCAGTGGTAATCCAAAGGGGGCTTTAGGGGCAACCAGAGAATCATCACCTCGCAAGTCAGAAAGGAGCACAACAGTCCCAGTGGTGCCCAAGGTATTTGCTGCCTGCGAAAGCCAATGGGACTCTGGGTATGTCGTGTTCTTTGGCTGTTGCTTTGCTTTTCTCCTGGCAATGACTCGTCCCATTCTGAGTGATTGCGTGTGGAACTGTGGAACCCTATGGGATGTTTCCTTTTGGTTCCTTCAAAAGTAGGCGAACCGGAGATGCTTTCGATCCACCGGCTGGCCTCGCGGATGATCTTCGCCACCTCCAAGGTGCACTTCTGATCCTCGGACAGGGAGTCCTTGCCGACCAGCCTCGCGCCGGGAGTTCCAAGGCGAAACCTGTCTGTGTCATGGAAACACGTTTCCCCGTTGATGGTTTCAAAACTTAAACCAAAGGAAGCCACCAAATCATTTCAAGGGACCCTAGTTTTTGAGAGGAAACATGAAGGACGCAGAAACGCCTGGGGATTTTTACCTAAAGGCTTGTAAAAGGGGAGTTGGAAAGCTCGTGTGCCGGATGCCTTTTAAACATGACCAATCCAAATTGGTTTGCAAGCGGCTGGACGATCTCTTGCAGGTCATCCTCCTTCTGCAGGATCTCCTTCATCTTCTGCTGCAGCATGCCTCCACATCCATAGTGTGGATCCACAAGAAACATCAGGTCAAATTGTGTCGATGAACCAAAACCCGACCCACCCACCAACCCCGAAAAGTACCACCCCCAATAGCCCGGTACAGTCGGGGGGGCCCTACAAACAAACCTCATGTTGGAACCCAGTTACCCAAGGACTCAAAACTAACGAAGAAATGAGCCACTCGCGGGGCCCTCGGTCACATCTGAACTTGGCCAGTCCCCCTGCCCGGCTCAGCTGGGGTGCTGTACTCTGCGTCGTACTTCTCGAAGTATGGCTCCAAAATTCCTGAGCACGACATGCGCGCGGGGGGCGCCAAGCGAACAGCCCGTGGCATTTGTTGGGGCTCCCGAAAAGACTTTCAAGCCCGACTGCCTGGCTTGGTGAATCCGGGAAAGCAAAGCAAGTAGCTCAGGCAAACAAACCCAACCGCCCCCCAAACGAACAAGGCACCCAGCACCTAACCAGTTGATCGGGTCACACCTGCTCACCCCCGAAATTCATCTTGAAAAAGACATGTTCGATTGTGATTTGGTGAATCAGGACGAGGGGGTAGTCATTCCACTTGAGGCGGCCCTGTTTTGCACTTCCAATTCCATGCAGGATGTTGAATTCTCCCTAGCCCCAAGTCTTCGTGACTTCTTATCCCATCGTCGGAAATGTGTCAACATCATGCGCAAGAAGCAACACCAAGTGCCGCAGTCAGGATTTGCCATACCCTTATAGGTGCATTAGAGAGCCCCTGGTTGTTGTGAAAGTTTGGAGAGTCGCCTCCATGCCCCTCCCAAACGAGCCATGACAACTGTACATTTTAACCGAACAAAGCTCTGGTGGCCTTCTAACAACATGGACCAAGGCGCCCCGCGCTGTGCTACTTTTGCTTTTCGCTGGGCATCCTATGCCTCTATGGATCCCATCTTTCAAATGGCCAAGCTTCGGATGTACTTGGAGAAGGAGATGTTCCAGTTGATCGACGGGAAGTGCTTTCGCTGCGCCAGCTTCCTCGGTTGGATGCCGTGCAAACAGGAGTTTCACCCCCAAAGCCAGAGCCGCTGGACCTCCAAATCCCCACCTTTTGCGCTGCCCATGAGGGTTCTAAAAAATGGCTGGTGCCTCTACGTGTTTGGTTGGGCCGAACCAATTCTGGGAACACGGTAGACAGCCCCTACCCTTGGTATCCAACAAAAAAGCAAGGCAAACCGAGCCTGCTCCAAAACGAGAAGCCCCTTTTCCGGCCTCCCGCCAACAAAACCAAGCATGGAAGGCACCCGCATGCCGCTTCGAATTCGGGCGAAGGGGCTTGTCCAAGCCCCAGAAGACCTGCACAATGCTCAGCGTGGAGGAGGTCACGGGGTCCGTGAAGTCGCCGCCTGAGAGGCGAGGCTCGGGGCATCTTTTCCTCCCGTCGCCTTTTTTCTTGGGGGGGCAACTAAGGGAACCGAAGGAAAACACTGGTTTTGAGAGGGTCACATGTTTTGAGACAAACCCACATCGTGCGGGGGGCTACCTTGAAGATAGCGATGAGTCGCTACTGCAACCAAATCAGCTGTAATCGAGGACTTGCCTGAGACTCAATGCCAGGCAAGTTGGCAAGATTTGATTACCTTCGAAGCGTCCAAATCTCTGCAGCGCTTCCTTCCCAGTTGCCCAGAGGCCTTGTTGGCACAAGGGATCCCTTTTTGGGGTTGTTCTTTGGGGGCGCACCAAAATAAACGGGCAGAAGAGTTCCACTAAACAACTAGGGCTTGCCATCTGTTGCAAGCCCACTATACAGCATGCAAAGCGGATAAGGATTCTCCATGAAGATTGACCATTGACAGCACAGATCCATTCTGATACCCCATTTTCGAGCGCCAAAGGTATGAAATTGCAAGGATCCTAAGCAGACCTGAAAGGAACGTGCATGGAGAATCGTTTCCTGGAATCCCAAAAGCAAATGAGCTACAAAAAAGTAAGCTTGCTTTAAAGCCAACCAAAAAAGGGGTCAGAACAAGAAGCCACGCTGATCCATGCCCTGCTTGCCTTTTCAGCCCAAAGGCAAAGAAGCGTCCCAGCAGGCACCCAAACCAACAACATGCGCGAGTCACATGTTGGGCGACCCGTTCAATGTGTTCTACCAAACTGGTTCCCTTGGAGATGCGAAGAGCCCAAAGGACAACAAGCCTTCTAGCACCCGTTTATGCAAACCCGTTAAGCGGGTCTCCAATGTTTGTGGAAAATAGCATTTGTTGTGATGCAGTGGTTGTTTTTAAAGGGATTCACTTGGCATCACACAAAGTGACCTAGTGACCTCAAACCCGTATTGTATTTCCGACAAGCATAGATCTGCCTGGAGGGGACACGGCCCCGACGATGGTGATGGAGCCCTCGCGCTGGGGGTTGCCGATGCACTGCACGCGCCCGCTGCGCTCGTAGAAGGAAGCCAAGCGCGCTCCTGCGGGGGTGAGGCGGATCCAAGTTGAGCCAACCCGTTGAAATGAAACGTTATGTAGGAAACAACATCTCGTGCCGCAAGATCCTCACGTAGGTTCCCTCGAGTCTGCAAACCATACCCATGCCAAACTGACGAATGCCTTACCTATTCATTATGTAGAAGTGCCGAGCCGACAAATGTCCAAGCGGGTAGTGCAGCCTCAGCCGCCCCCCCACCCCGCCCAAATCCCCGATAGTGGAAACGAAAAAGGAGTACCCAATTGTGCAAACCTTTTCCAGCCAAAAAACGGAAACTGCTAAACCAATACCAAACCAACAAAAGAAAGTACTAAGCTACTACTAGGGCAAAGCCAGTAGCAAGTACCAAGGCAGCACAAAGCAATACTAAGCCAATGCCAGACTAAGTTTGGAAAAGGCCGAGCTGACCCAAATTGTTGCACCGGTTTTCTCCACCAACATTTGTTTTGGGACGGGATTATTGAGGCAACCATACGGGGGAAATACGCGTCATCTATGGTCCAGCCAGCCTGACCACCTTTCCACAAACCACGAAGCCACCATGCGACAAGTCAAGTCGCGGCTATCAGGCCACTCCCGGCCGCTCTTGATGGAAAACACGTGGGACAAAATTCATTGTGGGTTGATATCTCTTGCGAGGGGTTGAACATGGCCTGATGGTGGCCTATAATTCTGTCTGGGCCCTTCGCACTTTGCTGATCACGGGTGCTGCTGCTTGCAACCCCGACCGCCTATCCACATCCTGGTCCCTCTTTGGCTAACTCTGTACCCGGTGCACTGCACACCTCCTATGTGGTGGACATGGCCCAACCATCTCCACCAGGGACTCGTTTAGCAAGCAAGATAGCAGCTCTAGATCCTGCCTCCCAACCCCAGAGTTTGCCTTTTGGTTGACACCTCCCCCTTTGGGTATTTCACAAGGGTGGGGCATGCTGGCATGCTGATTGACACGCCATGGCCGAGAAGGTAGCAAGTGGCAAATTTTAAAGGAACCTTCCAACCAACCGACCCTCCGACCCTTCTCTGCCCCTCCCCACCCGTCACCCTGCCCCTTCTCCAAGCCCCTCCTAGGTATGCGGGGTACCCGGCATCTGCGGGCATCTCCGCCAATCGGCCGGAGATCTCACGCAACGCCTCCGCCCAGCGGGAGGTACTGTCCGCCATCATGGCCACCTCGGAAAGCCAAAGGCGTCCCGTGCTCAAAAGCAACAAGTCCGGGCGAGATTCACTCCATGGGGTATGATGTGTACTGGGGGACCCTTTTGTGAACATCATTGCCATTGGGAATGTATGTCCACCAACCATGTTTGAGGCTGCTTCCCAATAGAACTAATGATAATGTCCAACGGCCATCCTGAATGCAGCTGAGATGCGTTGTAGCCCATGTCGCGGAAGTACTCCGCTGTCGTCACACCTGGTGCTGTGAGCGGCCCAATCGTCTGTATTATTTTGTATCGGCAAAGGCATGCTTGATCAACGCTGAGGCACACAAGTTTTGCGGAGTTTCAGGGATTCCTTCATAAGGCTCCAGCAAAAGCAACCTTGAGTCGCATTGCAAATCTTGTGGATCGGAGGCCTGGAACGCTTCTCCCATCCGGCCTGTGTAGATGGAGGCCTCTCGGGCCGCCACGGGCATGTTGGAGGTATTGGCCACCAAGGTGGTCCGCTGCATGATGGGCTCTTCCTGGCCAATCGAATTCCAGCGCACAAAGCTGGAAAACAACAACTCTGCTCGAAGCCAGACACCTCGTGATTCCTGGGCACTGGCCGTTGCGGACCCGTCTTTTTGACCAAAACATGGGCTTGCCTCGCCTTTGCCAATGCCCCTTCAAAGCCAAACAACCATAAGAGCCCATCTGGTTGAAGGAAACCTCGAGCCGAGTTGCAAAGAAAATGTGACTGTTGTTTTCCACGGAGGGGCCAAAAAGTTAAAGGGAAGGGAACGGAAGCGACTCCCGCCGCAACATGCGACCTCCCCTGCATGTTGGCATCCTTTTTAATCAATTATCGCCATTCCCCCCAATCCCCACCTCTTTCCTTCCCCCTGCTTCCCAGCGCTTCCACAAGAGCCAAGTCGCCTTGCCGTCGATGAGCGTGGTCAGCTCCGGGAAATCCGTGAGCACCTCCGCCATCTCGTTGCCCCGCTCTCCGCAACCCACCTCGGGAAAACTTCTCGTTGGACGGCTCTGTGGGTGACTGAAAACTTGGTTCCCGCCCCCCCGCCCGTTTTGGGCACGCAATAAGAACATATCAGCATTTGGGAGCTTCTCAAAGTAGGATTCGAACCCCCTGTTGAATGGAAACCAACTATTTTTAGGGTCCCCATCTTTACAAATCTCACTTGACTCTAACAGATTCCCCTTTGCATTCATTTTACTCGGCGCCATGGCAAAGTTAAGATATGTTTTTTCTGCGATCGTACAAAATGCAACTATCCTTCAAACACGCTAAAATGGGGTCACTAGTTGACCACGCGCCCACGTGTTCTGAAAGATGCTACCAAGGATTGTCTTGCAATGGTGCTCTTTCCAAAGTTCTTTGGTCATAAAGCGACCACAACAGGGCAGCATGCGGCTCTGGTATCCTGGTCATCCCGGGCGTCTGCCACTTCTCCCCAGGTCTTTTTCAACTCATTCATCTGATGCACGCAGTCACACAACGGGGGTTCCTCAATTCTGGGCTGGTTTACCTTTGTCTTCCTATAGCCATGGAAAGCGGGCCTCTTTGAGAGGCCAAAGACGACCAAACACCCACACACACACAAAACAAACAGAGTGAGCCAAATTGAGCCCAGCCGCGTACACCACCACGTCAGAGTTGGAGTACTTGGACAGAGCCTGCCGGCGTTTGGCCAAGAAGTCCGTTCCGGGGAGCCGTCCAGCCATGATATGCAAAGAGGACCTTCTGGTGTTTCCCATTTGGTCCTTTAGAACCATTCTAGAAAGAGGCCTCAAAAAAGACATACTCATACGTCACCACCACTTTTCCAGCCTGGTGGAAGAACCACTTTGTATATCACTCTCTCGTCAAAAGCCAAGTTGTCCAGCCAAGTGATTCTCAGACAGCGCGGCCCGTCGCCCCTCCCAATCCCCCTTCTGTTGGAGTCGCAAAGAGGACCAAGCCCCGACAGCTGAGAAATGACACCCGGGATGACACCCGGGAAAACGGAGGTGGGTCTTAGAGTTTTTGTTTTGTTTGGCGGTCGTGCACACATCCGTGCACATTTGTGAACCTTCAGGCAGTCCCACTCGGTAACGATCGTGATTGCTTGCAGAAAATCCTTAAAATGAAGCCTGGCACACCGCTTAATAACATTCCCGCACCCACACGCAAGTCAGCCGATTGCTTGTTGGTCCCAAGGCGCCCTTCGGCGCTGACTGAGGTAACTAGCTGCTACCGATAGATTTGCGCATGAGAAACCCCTTTGGTCAAGAGGGGGTTGGGCATGAACCGGAAGGGACGCCCTGAAAGTAAACCACAAGGATGGTTCAGAGTCATTCCCTCATAAATAGGGAACCCCAAACATTGGTGGTTTTCATTCGGGTTTCGCCTGAAACCCCAAGAACAGGTCAGCTTCAAAAAACAGCCTTCCCTAAAAACCAGCCAGTGGACATTTAGGGAGCCTGGTTTCAAAGGGGCACGCCAAGACTGCCTATGGGGAAAAAAAACAAGAATAAAAAAACAAGAAGAATAAAAAAACAAGAAGAATAAAAAAACAAGAAGAACAAAAACAAGGAGGAAAAAAAACAACAAACAAAACAAGAAAACAAAAAATAAAACTCTTTTTCGGGACGCCGAAACGCGGCCGCTTTCGGTCGCCTGGGAGATCACCGTCTTGCCGCACCCGAAGGCGCCTGGCACGGCCGCCGTGCCGCCCAAGGTCACGGGGAACAAGGCATCGATGACCTGGGGACGTTGGCTCCAGGGGGTGCCACCCAAAATCCAATCCACCTGAGTGCCCAAACCCAGTGATTGACTTTTGGCTCTACCAGCAATATTATCATAAGGGTTCTATGTGGGTCTCGCCATGACCTTTGTGTAACCAGGCAGAACCTGCCGAAATGGCCAGCAAGTGCTTCGGGCGCTGACCCTCTGCCTTGGGGGCAATCAGAAAATGGCCCCGGCCAAGGTGGAGGACTGGCATAGAGTCATGTGGATGCACGACATCCTGCACCACCTAAGCAGCCATGGATTGATGATTCCCCTGTAAGTACCAGCAAACAATGGTTTCCCATGGTTGCTTGGGAGGTGCAGGATTTCGTCTACCCACAGTAGAGCACGGATTCTGCAAGCCCCATAGTGGGTCCCGTCTTCAAAAGGCCTGGTCACCCTTGGCGACCTACTGAGTTTACTACCGTGGCCCAAGGAGAAATTGGGCTGATTCTGAGGATCACCATGGAACCGAGAGAAAAACTCTCGTTCGTAGAGGAATCTTCCGATCTTTCGGTCGGGGATGTAGGCATCACCCTAAGGCCCTGAAGCGCACAGGGCGCTGCAGAAAATGATGATAGACCTGGCTGAATGCAGAAGAAAATATCGAATTGTGCAGCAAGCAAACATGTGTGGCAGGATTTCTCTGCGCGACTCTTACCCCCAAGACAAAGGGTAGGCACAAAATCAAAAAGTATCAGGGTCGCAGCAAAGCAAGCTCAGGCTTGCAAATGGTAGGACGTTGCGGGTCTGATCATAAGTCGTGGTCAACACCTTCACAAATTCTCACATGGACTTTGGTCCATCTCAGGCAGGCAACTGCTGCATTCTGATCGAGGGCTTCTCTAAACTCGTCAATCACATCTGATGCACCTCACATGCCATAAGAGGTGAGCTGAGGCAAGGAAACATTTCTGCGTATGCATCGATGGGGCCAGGCCTCTTGCGTGGTTCCTTCCCTTGCGTGACTTAAATCCAGTTCAGTTTTCTGCCCATGCACAAGCTCGCAGTGAACAACAACTCACAGTGCACAGCTCGAGCCTGTTCTTGGTTCTGCTCTGCCAAAAAAAACTGCCCGAATGAGTTGGAGTTGGCCCTGTCACACAACAAATCATGCTGTTCGCATCGCTTCTGGTCACCAGTGCCCAGCTATAGATATTGACACGCATGCCCTCCTCATTCAATGACAAGCCACCCCTCTTTGGACCAAAAGGATGGGCCTCCTGATGCCATTCGCTCGCCCGCTGGCAGCGCTGGTTTCCATTGCCCGCTGCTGTTCAGTTGTCAACTTCGCAGAGTTCCCCCTTGGGCTTGGTTCTCGCAGAAGAATGGGCTGTTCCTCACTTCTCTGGCGAGCACCTTGAAGATATCATTTGTTTCTCAAAATGGAGGACCCCTCAATGGCTCATTCCTTTTGGTCTCCCGTTAAAGAAAGGGGTCTACCCTTCTGCGAAAGCCCCCCGTGTACGGGCCTCACTCGCCTCACTGCTTCCAAGCTGCTCGCTCGCAGGTGAGCAGCGCCTCCTTACCCTGGAGCTTCTCCACCACGGGCCGACTCTCGCGCACCGGCCATCTCCTCAGTTGTTGGAGGCTACCCTTTTCTCCTCGGCTTGGGAAACCAAAAGGAAATCCACTAGTTTGGGGGTTCCCCCTATTGTGACACATAGGTATGGGGCCCCCACTATCCCCGGGTGGAATGGCGAGGATCCTTAGGCCTGTTCATTGGGGTGTAACTTAACCATTGGGGGCCGTTTCTAAACAACGGACGAACCAAACTACCAAAAACAACACGTACGTCTTTTCAATCAACAACTGTTGTCCTCCGTCTCTCCTTCTCTGTTTCTCTCTTGTTGTCTCTGTCTCTCTCCCTCTCTCGCGTGCTCTCTTGCTAACTCTCTCGCTCTCGCTCTCTCTCGCTCTCTCTCTCTCTCTCTCTATCTCTCCCTCTCTCTCGCTCCTTCCTTCCTTCCTTCCTTCCTTCCTTCCTTCCTTCCTTCCTTCCTTCCTTCCTTCCTTCCTTCCTTCCTTCCTTCCTTCCTTTTCCTTCCTTCCTTCCTTCCTTCCTTCCTTCCTTCCTTCCTTCCTTCCTTCCTTCCTTCCTTCCTTCCTTCCTTCCTTCCTTCCCTCCCTCCCTCCCTCCCTCCCTCCCTCCCTCCCTCCCTCCCTCCCTCCCTCCCGCCTGCCTGCCTGCCTGCCTTCCCTTCTTCCTTGCTTGCTTGCTTCTGTCCTTCCTTCCTTCCTTCCTTCCTTCCTTCCTTCTTTCCTTCCTTCCTTCCTTCCTTCCTTCCTTCTTTCCTTCCTTCCTTCCTGCCTGCCTGCCTTCCTTCCTTCCTTCCTTCTGTCCTTCCTTCCTTTCCTTCCTTCCTGCCTGTCTCCTTGATAGTCTGCATGTGTGTCTGCATGTTGAGCTTTCTCTAGTTATGTATTCCTTCGTGTATTTCTTTAGTTCTGTCTGTATTTCATTATTCATGAATTCATGTTGTTGTTTGATGTGATCCTTATTGTTGTAATTCGGTACTTATTGCTTTGTCAATTTCCTTTTTTTGGAGGTTGTTCGTTCGTTATTTATTGGTTTCCTTTTTTTGTTTTCCACGATTTCTTTCTGTGCTTATTGCCGTGATGTTGTTATGTCCTGTATTGAGTTACTTATTAATTTATCTATTTATATATTTATTTATTTATGTATTTATTGTATCTCTGTCTGTTGTGTCTTTCTTATTTATTTCTTTTATTTATTTCCTTCCTTCCTTCCTTTCTTTCTTTCTTTCTTTCTTTCTTGCGTTCTTTCTTTCTTTCTTTCTTTCTTTCTTTCTGTCTGTCTGTCTTTCTTTGTTTCTTCTTTCGTTCTTCCGTTCTTTCTTTCTGTCTGTCTGTCTGTCTTTCGTTCTTTCTTTCTTTATTTATTTATTTCTTTCTTTCGTTCTTTCGTTATGCTATTTTCTGTTTTTCCTTTCTTTCTTTCTCTCTCTTCTTTCCTTCTTTCTTTCTTTTTTTCGTTGTGTTCCTTCTTGCTTTTCCTTTCTTGCTTTCTTTCCGTGCTTTTGTTCTTTCTTGAATTATCTCCTGTTTTGGCTCTTTATGTTCTTCTTTATTTGCTTATCTAGTTCCTTCCTTTTTTCTGTCTGCCAGTCTCTGTCTCTCTGTCCGTCCGTCTGTCTGTGTCTGTCTGTCTGTCTTTCTGCCTGCCTGCCTGCCTGCCTGCCTGTCTCTCTGGCTTTCTGTCTCTCTCGCTCTCTCTCTCTCTCTCTGTCTCTATCTTTGGCATGTCTAAAAATAGAGGACCCCTTAAACGTCTGGTTTCCTTTTGCCAAGGAATGCATTCAGGACGGTTCTTACAGACCGCATTGGTCCGAAACTTCGGTTCCATTTGGTTTCCCCAGGTTTGCCATCCCAGCAAATGTGGTCCCTTCCCAATTCAGATTCAAGGCCCGCAGAAGTCTTCAAACTAAGCCGTGGGACACCCAATGTTAGTCCCCATGACCCCAAACTGGGCTGTTCCCTTTTTGGTGTCCCCTTAAAACCACCCAACATGGGCTCCACTATCTTGAAAACAAATGGGAACCCCTTCATTTATTTATCCCCTCCCGCTCCCCCTCCCACTTTGGCTGCAGCTGGAACATCGGTCTGTTGACCTACTTTGCGGCATCCATCCCCACAATCTAATCACCGCCTGGCCGCTGGAAGAGCTCCACGCGCTGAGCCTTGCCAGCATCCTCCACCTCCACCACCGCTGTGTCGATCTTGTACTGGCCCGCCGGCAGGACCTTCTTCACGCCTCGCTCAATCGAAACCGGTTCTTCCATTTGCGCTGGGAACAGGGTGACCCCCGAAGAAGGGAAACGTTTGGTGATTTGGATTGGTGGTTTGGATTGCTTTGGGAATTCGGACCCTAACCTCCAAACCGTAAATCTAAACCACTACCGTACACCGAAAACAACACCAACGATCCCAAGCTGAACAATCCCTTGTAGCTTTTTTTCTAAGGCAAGGGGATCCCGCTTCGAGTTCATTCGCAAAACTTTGAACATCTTACTGCGTTCCTTTACAAGGAATCCGGCCAACCCGCCCAAACAGGGTTGGGTTCCTTGTTGATGCCTGGTCATCTGAGCTGCTCCAAATGTACGGCCAATCCGATGTTCCATCATCCCTATCAGCAAACCAGAAAAGAGGGCCAAATCCATTCATAACCCAAGCCAAGGATCTGTTGGACTGCCTTTGCACGGCGCAAACAAAAGCGCCGAATGCGGCATCAAACGCTGGCGGTCATGCTGCTCAGGGACACAGACACACATCAAGACTGTTCCTTGAAAACATACAAGACAAACGAAAGTGACCCTGAGCAGGCACACACTTGTACTGGCACAGCCTTCTGTGGCTCAAGTTAGACTTGGCAGGCAGATTTGGCAAACGTGAAAAGGCGCTGAGTCGTTCAACCATGCTGACTACCCTCGTCAGGGTTACTACTGAAAGAAAGGTGCCTGCAGTGGCAAACTCATCAACTGAGTTGTGCCAGTTTCCACCGAGGGTGCCTTAGCTTCCAAAAGTCAGCCTTGGGAGATCCCCATTCTTTGTTGTAGATTCTGGAGCGCTGCCCCCAAACACGAACAGTCAGCACACGTTGTAGTTGTGGTTGACCCAATTTTCCTTTATGCACTGTTAGGCAGGGGCGTCCAATATGGATTCCATGACAGACTTGGCCATACGCCCTCAGGCTGTGGTGTACCCCCAATGCCGCAGTCACAGGAGTCTCGACTTGCGCTGAGCCCGGGACGGCCCTTGACGCCGGGAGGCACCATGATGTAATGCTTCTTGAAAAGCCTGAGGTTTTGGAAAATCTCGAAACAGGCCCTTGTGCCGGGTGGCTGAAGGGGAACGAAAAGGAAACCAGGCAGTTGGGGGGAATCCGCTTCACGGCGGCCATTGCCATTGGGCATGAGCAGTGGGGGAGTGGCTCTGTTGGTCACACTGCAGTGCTGGGGCGGAGCCAAATAAGACAACATGCAATAGACGCCGTAGAGCTTGTGAAGCAAGTCCTTCTGCTCAATATGATTGTTCTCCCCTTTCTGTGGGTAACTTGGGCAGCTTCATCCATGAGGTTCCTGTGGTTTGTCATGTCGCTGTAGCAGGAAAAGCAAGCACAGCCTCCCCTCCCTGTTCCGGCGAGGCGCCCGTTCTCCTTCACGATGCCCACCACGTCACCACCAGTGACGAGGTCGCCCACCTCATGTCGGACGCTTGATTCATGGAACAGCTGATACCATCTGAAGCGTAGTGTAGGCCGTCGGATCCCAAAACAGCCCTGGAGAAAATGCTGGGGATGGAACAAGGGAGCAAAGAAATAGCAAGCGTCCTGTGGTCCACTTGGCCGCAGCTTTCAACATGAGGCAGCAATGGACTGCAACTCCGAGAAACTCAGACATCTGACTTACCTTCACATTGAGCCATGGTCACGTGAAAGAACGCAGCCACCTTCCTTTGCTTGACACTGAGAGAGGGCAATGCTCAGGGAACATCGCGCAAGCCGCAACGGCAAGTAAAACGATCTAAGTGACAATGCCCTTTGCTCTATTTCCTGCCCCTCAAAGGATCCCCCGTTTCGGCCACCAACGTCTCCAGCTTCTGCGTGCCATGACCTTCCGTCCCGTGTTTTCTTTTTTTTCCGGTCCCTTCCTGCCTTGACGTTGTTCTCCGGAGTGTAGTCCCAGGGGCAGTCCCGGTCCAGGTTCGGCACATCCACGCCCCTCGGAATGAACACGCTCTGCGCCAGCTTCTGGATGCGCTCCAGGGGCCGCTGGATGCCATCCTAAGCGCGGCTTAATCATATGATCATTTCTCCACCATGAGGGAACGACAGACTTGGGCCCGGATTTCGCTTGCCAAAGAGGGTGTCGAGCGACAAGACAAAGCCCAAGAAACATCCGTAAGCGAGAATTAATTAAGACCTCGTGCTGTCTCTGTTGGAGAAAAGGAGCCGCCCCAAAAAAGAAGGGCCCTGCGCCTGCAAAGAAACCTCGGTTTGCCTTTGGTTTCCCTTGGCCGAAAGGGGTGCCCAGGGGATCCTCACCGTTTTGGAACCCACCTGCTCCGGCGAAAAAGGAGAACACCCAAACGAAACGGGGGCCGAGGCGGCCGAGGCGCGTAGATCCCGTCCAGGATGCCTGGGCCCAGCTCCAAGGACAGCGGGAGGCCCGTCTTCACCAAGGGATCCCCCACGGTGAGGCCGGAGGTGTCCTGACCGAGCTCTTGGCCTTTGAGGGGCCCGGGGCGAGTCTTGTTTGCGGGGTGATGTGAACCCACCTTTGGCTTGAGGTGTCCACGCAAAAAAAAAAAAAAGACGGGCCGCCGATGTTTGAGGACCCGACATGGGGTCGGGGTTTGGTGACCAAGCCTTTTTGGGAACCATGACTACAACTACAAGAGAATACCAACAGGTTGAAAGGTCACATCAAACAACTCCGACTCCCGCTTATACACGCAGTGCATTTATGGAACTCCACAACGCACTCGATGCACTTTCTTTGGGATTCGTGTGTGTCTGTTGTTGGCTGCACGCAGATGACCTTTTCGACGATGATGCTTCTGACAAATAGAATCATCGAACTCTGGGTTTGACAGCTATCTGATTTGTCTCAAAATTGATTGCCAGGGTTGGGCGAGGTCCAGGAATGCAAGGAATGGGCCTGAGGTTCTTTGGTGCAGTTGAGTCCACCTTAAGATCCTTAGATAAGTGGTCGTCTCCCTATTGACCATCCCTGGCCGCAAGATTACGTGTTGCTTCTTCAATCTGAGCAATCTTGCCACTGAGCCAACTACAGATTCCGGATTCTGAAAACAAACCAATCTGTATCAGAATGACTTGACTCGTAGCAGCTTGGTCCAGGTGCATTCCAGCTGATGATACTTACAATCATGGGTTGCAATAGAATTACTGGGATGCAATCACCCACTCAAGTGGGAAACAACTCTCTCTCTCTCTCTCTCTGTCCTCGTACACCTGGATACTGGCTGTGTCGCCCTCCAGCCGGATGATCTCTCCCACCAGCCTGTCCTTGCCCACTCGCACCACCTGGCAGCAACGCGATGTGATGTGGCATGAATCCTAATTTGAGACTCGTTGGTGGACATCATTTGGCTGGAGAATTCTGTCCACCAAGCACTTGAGGTGGCAATCAAAAAAAGATGCCATTTGGCCAGTTTGGCCCTGTGTTGCGTGACTTATCCAGCGTCAAACTGTAACTTATGAAGAGTCGAAGCGGTCGAACTGGCACAGAGAAGCCGGCTCTTTGGTCAAGGTCATCGCCCATGAGTGTTGGAAGGCCTGTACTTGTACTCGTAAACCAGCACGCGCGAGACGAGGGGGAGGCATGTCTTTCAACGTCCAACTGGGCACACTGCCACTCCAAAAGGGAAATTGAGAGCCCCGGTTCACCAAATGGATGCAGCGACCTGGCCCCCAATTGACCCGCGCCTCGTACATCTTGGTACCAGACATGTTCTCCGCCACAACCAATGGGCCGGAGACCTTCATCACAGTTCCTGGCCAAGCTGTGGCCTTATGAGTCAGAGCGAGGGCTCCCAGCCGTTCAAACAATGGCCGCATGGCATGGCTGGGAATGTCCCCAATACCCAGGTGTTGGCCTTGGCTTAAATATTGACGCACTGAAAAGCTGGATGCCTGGCTTGCTTCCTCCCTTTTCGCTTGCTCGCGTATCTACCCGCTTGCCTGCTTGCTACTTGATCGCATGCGTTGAGCCCAAAACCTCTTGCCCTTTCAGTTGCACTTTCGACGTCAAGCAACAAAAAGCCTTTCAGCTTCAAGTTGCAGGAAGCAGCCCCGTCCCCTCCCAACTTCCTGGCTTGTCAGCTTCCCTCTTTCCCAACCACCCCTCCAAGCTGCCAATCACGGTTTGGATTGGTTTGGGAATTTGAACCCTTGGTTTTCCACAATCGGGGGCCATCACTTCAGAACCACCAACCCAAACCCCGCCTGTGGGGGCCGCCATGGCAAAATCTGGAAAGGGGCGTTTGACGGCTGACAGCTGGATGTTTTTTGAGCTCGCGCTGCGGGAGAGAAGCGACGGAATGCCTGCAACCTGGGATTCTCCCTTTCAGGTAATTGGCACCAGGCTCTTTGCAGGTGGGGTGGGGTCGGGGAGCACAAAGGGGTGCACCTACGGTCACCTACGGTCCCATGGCGCATGGAGCATCTTTCCACACTTCCTCAGATGGCCGGACCATGGCTATCGATGAGCAGTAGACCAGAAT